CTCATACTACTCTGGCTCCATAAATTCAAAGACAAATCTTTCATAAAAATACTTAATTAAAAAAAATCAGATTTTTTGAGTACAAAAGAACTTGTAATACTTACTAAAAGCATGCCAAATTTTGTGTACATAAACTTATGACATGAAAAGTTATAATATGTAGAGTTTCATGGTTATTTGGTGACCAAGCCTGTGTGTGGGTGGGTAATTTTTACACTTTTAATGTGTTTAACATTAGACATGCAAAGCTTTTATGAGCTCTTTCTGTCAGAAATAAATTATTGTTAGGTTTGTAATCAATAATGCATTGGTGGTGTATTTATATCAACATTTTTTTCAAGAATTTGATTTGTAATTAAATTGTAAAATAGCAAATAAGTTGGAGCTATGGTTTGATATGGAAGTTTGGCTTATAATATAATTATGTTATACATTTTATTTTTAAGTTTAAAACCTAATGACTCTTAATGATATTTCTTGTACACTTGGAGTATTAGAGTATGTTTGGAAACAGATTCAGTGTAATTTATCAAGACAACTAAATAATTGAGGCCAGTAAGTGATTAAAACTTTTGTGACTACATTTAGTTTGTTTCTTTACATATACATTAGCACTTATTCATGAAGCCATTAAATTTCTGTATTAGTGAACAATTTCTGAGTAGTTTATAAAATATATGTTTAACTTCCCCACACATCAGAGCAGTTTCAAATGTTGCAAAAAAAGGATAGTAAATAACATAAATTTTAATGTACTGCATGTAATCTATTCAAGGATTTTTTTTATAATAGAAACTTGCTTAGATAATAGTTGGAGATATATATTGGAGAAAGGGCCAAAAATGATCACTGAAAGTTTAAGAGGTATGAAGGTTTGAAATAGAAATTTGTATCATGTGTGTGTGTGTTAACTAAAATATTTAAAATATATCAAATGTTGAATGCAATGTTAAATAATATTGATTTACATAAGACATAAGAAACATTAATCATATATATAATGTTTTAGTTGTCTTTTACTCACCACAGTTAACCTATATTTATATAGGGTTTGAAGAATATTTTGCATTGATGCTGCTTGTTTATTCTTCTAAATTATTCAGCAGACAAGCTGTTTAAAATACTAAAAAAAAATATGAAGCCAATCTATTATTTGACATGCAACTTTTCACTTGTAAAGAGTAATCACTTTTGTTTTATTTCTGTGAAAACGATATGCACATATTTCATTCTAGATAAGATAAAACATATGGGTATTTATTATGGAACTGTAGTATCAAAATACACTAATTTATTCCATCTAATAGAGGACATGAAGTGTTTTTCAATGTGAGAGTAGAACTGCATTAGTTTATTGATTTATGTATTTTTTCATCTCAAAATGTAGAAAATTGTTATAGTTGAATATAATTACTCGTTCCATGTTTAATAAATGTTTAAACATTTTCACTTTATTTCTGGTTTATTTCAAATCACTCTTAGGGGAAAGTTATCATTTTACTCTTACAGTAGAATCAGGTATACTTGTGGATGCTGACATTGTAAGGTTTGTGTCAATAGATACTGATCTATAAAACAGATTTCAACATGTATACTTATGCTAAAAAGGGGTTCTAACAAAAGGCAAATGAAGTTACTATTTGGTGATCTATAAATCACAATGTAATAACTTTTGTGAGCTCACAAGTATTTTTTACAACTAAATTTAACCAAATGTTTAAGAAGGATAAGAGTTCTAGTTTTTTAATGTTCTGCTCACTGTAGCTTGGCAATAAAATAGATAAACTCTATGTGCAGGGATTGGAGTCAAAGTGCACATGCCATGACCTTTTACAGGATGTCATTCAATATAGTATTATGTATTTGGTGTCAGACTTTTGAACGGTTCATTTTAACTTACATTGCTTATTTAATTACAGTTTATGATAAAGCAGAGTAAATACCAGGTAGGCTCAGTATACAAGGATGCAGAAGAAAACTGTAGATATGCATTTCGGAGGTTCTAGAGATATACAATCTAACGTGGACAAAAGTATTTTTATTCATTACAGGAACATCATCTTGCAGTCTGTCTTGACAAGAGTTTGGGTTAGGTTGATGTCTTCAGTTCATAGTTATGTCATAAGTACAAGTACATTTGTAACATATCTCTTTTTTTTGTGTACAATAGACTTATTCATTGTGCTGAAAGTTTGCCAACTTTTGTGTAGATACATATATCAAATTTGGAATTGTAGTGAACATTCCTTCTCCAATATGGAGTTGGTCTAATGAACCAAGCCCATACATATTCAGTTAACTCTGTGTGCATGGGGCTGGTCTATTGGACCAAGTATGTATCAGATAATTCATGTGTACTATAGTTTTGAATTTACTTTGTGTGTTTTCTTGAAACGTGGTAAGTTTTTAGTAAATATTAAAATTATGTTGTGCATAAAAAATGGAGTTTTGATAAAATATTTCTACTAGATATTTGTCTCTGAATTTACTTTAGTCAGTTTGAATGGTATGAATACAAAGTGATATTCATGTTTGAATAAAAATACTTTTTTTCATCTTACAATTTCCATATTTCATTTATATAACCTCTAAATTAATATCAAATTTTTTTTATTTGTCATTTTTTCTACCCTACACTAAGTGTATATGGGCTAGGTCAAATTGACTGACGATGTAACCACCATGTAAAACAAAAAAAATATATATATATGAAATGTAAATTATACTTCTTTTTTTTCTGGGATGACTGCATGTTGTAACAGGAAGCTAGTTATTTATCCTCATGTTGTAACAGAAAATTAGTCATTTATCCTAAATTCTTCAGTAACCTTTTTGCAAGTGCTTTCATTAAAGTTTATTATTTTATTGCTGTTTGAACTATGTTTAACTAATAAATTAGTGTAACAGAGCAATAAGTCACCTACCGTAAGCACTTCTTTGTTTACCATAACATAAACGAAGAAGTGAATTACATCAAACACAAGCAGCTTGTGTGCATTCCTTGGAGAGAAATTGTTTTCATTTAAGTTTTATTCTCTAACCAAATATGTTTACATTTTTTACATCTGAGTTACTTTTATAACAATAGATAAAATATATACATAAAAACAAGAAATTAAATACTTATTTGTGAGTCTTGTACTTTTTCCAAAGTCTTGAAGTCTCAATAGAAGTTAACCTTACTTTTAGGTAGGGCTAGTACATTACTGAATTTGTATTTCAAATATTCAGTTTAGAACATGAAATAATAACACACCCATAGAATATAATGAACTATAAGTGTTGTAATTTAACTGACTTTCTTATTAAGCTATAAAAGGTTTAAAATAATTCCCTTGGTTGATTGAGGTAACTTGGCAATAGCAAGGAATGAAAGTGTGGGCAGAATAATTCATAAACTGTCATTAGAACATGCCAACCTTGTACGGAATTCAGTAAATTACAATTTTCTTTTTCTATTGGTTATAAATAGTCCAGCAACAAATGTCAGGAGAATTATTGACATGTTTTGAAAGACAGGATATGATAGGAGAGTATGGCACATGTGTGTTTGACTTTTTGGTTTATATGTCAATAAAACAAGAAGATTTGAGGCTATAACTTTAGATTATGTCTTAGCAATATCTGTACTATTTGTGTTGATTAGTGTCACTAATATAATTGACTCATCAAAATTATGATTAAATTGATTAATGTCATGGAAATAATCAACTGTGTTTGATTGTTCCAACTCTCCAGCAATCAAAATTATGATTAACTTGACTAATGTCATAAAGTAATCAACTAGTCCAAACGTAATGTTTCCAATTGTTACCATTTTTGATTATTCTTATATGTAGTATTCAAAATTACAATTAACTTGATTGTGTCAGAAAATTATCAATTAATAGAAATTAATGCTTCTGATTTTCCAACTATCCAGTTATCTAAGTATTGCTGTTATGATTTTCAGTTAATTCTCATTTGCTTTTTATTTTGCATAATCAATTAATGTCACAACTCATGAAAAGAAGCAACTAATTTAGCTTAATTGATTAGCATCCTGACTCAGGAAAATAATCAACTAATCAAAATTAGAGTTTCCCAATTTTTACTGTTTTCAATTATTCCACATATCCGAGTAATCAAAATATTGCAATTATGTGGGTTTGTTGTTAAGGGCAAAGCTATCCCATAGGTTTTCTGTTTTCTTAATACCATGGGTATTGAAACCTGATTTTTAGTTTTATAATTTTATTCATTTATTTATTTTTTGTTATTTTGTGAGAATAGTGGATAAGTATTTCTTTTAGCTAGCTCCGGCAAAAAATTGATTAGTTGAATGTAACTGACAAATGAGCCTGACAGTTAAACAATTAGCAAATTTCATTGATTTCCCAGCTCTCCTTTCACTCAATTGGAAATGAAATTAATTAATAAAAGTATTACACTAATGTCTTTCATTTTTACATAATTACATTATAGTGTTTCAAATTTTTATTATTCTTGTTAACTGTATAGTCACTGTTTAGAATACATAGAGATGTGTTGTACATTAGCTACAACTTTTTACCATGATATTTAAAAAAAATAGAGGTATTTCTCACTGAAATCATGATGACAAGAGATTTCTGGTAATTGGGTGCTTTAAACTGAGATTTTAGCTAATATGTAAATTAAATAATATTTCCTGTTATTTTCATTCTAAATTATTTAGTGTGTGTGCATTAATTATTTTACCTTAAATTTTTTCCTGAGTTCAATTAGTAATAAATCTTCAAACTAAAAGTGTAATAATGAAACATAACTTACCAAATTCAGTTGTAATTAGGTTTCAAATTGAGATGCTGCTTTTTTCTTGAAGAACTGCATAATTCTTGAAGAATTATAATGCATAATTCCTCCTGGAAACATTTGAATTGCTCCATTACTGTAAATATTGCATGCATAAACATTTTGGTGTTATTTAGAATTGCTTATTATAAAAAAAGATAATGTGGCATTTATTTTCATAATTAAAGGATTGAGTTTCCTACCAATAAAAGTTTCTGCTTGGAGATACAATCGTGGAAGTCGTTCTCTTACGGCCAACTTAGCAGCAGCACATCCATTGTTACCTGTTAATCAAGGAAAAAGTGAATCTGAAGAACACAAAACAGATGAAGACTATGAGTTACCTGATGAGATGGAAGATATAATTGAACAGCTGCTGAATGGACTGCGTGATAAAGACACTGTAATCAGGTTTGTTTATCCTTTTGGACTTGAATGTTTCAATAGCTTAATATGTGATATAAATCAATCATGTAGAGATAATTTTTTTTCTGGATAATTATAATTTGTTTTATAAATGAATTGATTGAATTAATTCACTTGTTCCCATGAATATCACCAAATGAGGGAACTAGAGGAACATTCAGTTGAGCACATATCATATTTGGCTCTTAAAAAATGTGAAAATGTGTCTGTATGTCCATCATTATTAATGGACGTGGACCATTTTTGGCAGGACAATGAGGAATAATACTTACATATATCCACCAAGTTTTAGCAAAATTTAATCATTTTTGAATTAGTTATAGTTACAAAGCAGCTCAGATATTTAAAGTAAAAATTTACCTTCATAAAATGTCTTTTTAAGAAATTGAAATGAATTAGAATTTCTTTATAAACAGTCATATATATAAATTCTTTACACTGAAATTGATTAGTTGGTTACACTTGCATATAGTTAGGTTTATGCCAGAGAACTGTTCAGTTTTAATTTAAAGTGAGTGATTTTATTGTTGATTTTATAGATGAAATATCTCACTGAAGGTTTAGCTAAGTTCAAAAAACAATAATAAAAAAATTATCAGTGAATATTTACTGTTTTAATTTCATTATTAATGGAAAAGTTGCTATATAAATTTATGTCTATGGATGCATTCATAGAATGCCTTTGAATGACTTTAAATATTATTCATCTGTGTTTTACAAAACATAAGTAAAGGTGATTTAAATTGTTGAAAACTACTAAACAACATTTTATTGATAATTTGTATATACAATTCAGAATACCTAAAAGCAAAAAGTATATTTTTCATTTAATCTAAAAAACTTTTCTAAAAGTGTATTTGTTTAGTTTGGATTTATACATGTTAATTTTTCAATACAATCATTTGTCAGCCAAACACTAGATGAAAACATTCACTGCTGTTTAGAAGCAAATACATTTAAAGTGTCAAATTGGAAAAACATTAAAGTTAATGAAACTTTGAAATTTGTAATACCTTTACAAACACTGCAAAGTTTAAAAAATGGGTATTTTTGATGCCTTTTTTGCTCATTTTTAAATGGAAAGGAATCAGGAAAAAGGAAGAATTAAGTACTCTTCTAAATGCAGTTAAATGCTTTACCCAAAGACATTATTTTGCATTTAAAACAAACAAAATTTGACATTTCTATACAGTGCATTACCTCCAGTTCAGTGCTGTCCTCTATATGCAAATTTTTTTGCATGCCACATGCTTTGAACTCCCACATCCCTCACAATCAATGTGGTTCAACTACGTCTCATGTGTAAATCATCATGCAACAACCCTCCACCAACAGGAGTACGACACACCCTCCTGACGCATGTGACTTCCTCTATTTGATTCTGCTGAAAAATTTTCTTTTGCTCGGCAGTGATCTAGTGCAGATGTTTTTTTATTTTGCTCTCTTCATGTGTTTTTTTTAAATTTTCTGTGAAGTAGCAATTTCATTTAATTTATTTGCTACAGTTTGTTTTCTCTAGTTTTGACGTGATAACTTACCTTTATTTGTTCAAATTTTTTTCTTTATTTCTTCACTGTTTATGATGAATTCCAAAGTTTGTGTCACTACTTCGGATTTTTTTACATTTACTTCCAGTACATTTACACAAGCTTCAGGTTGGGGACTTTGACTGAGAAATTTTCGGCTATAATTCATCAGGAGATTGATTGTTATACAAGTCAACCTTCTTTTCTCGATATTTCTTGACTTCCTCATGAATCTGCTGAACCTGTTCATGATTAGGAGGATTTTGACAGTCTTTTTTCCTCCACCTAACTAAGCCATGCCTTCCCAAGCCTCTCCTGCAGAATCTGATAGGCCTAACTCAGCCTTTTCAGATATGATTTCTCAGGTGTGTTTCTGTTCCTTCCTTACTACATGACACCCCTTTCCTCAGAGTATTTTGTTTTCCCTCCTCCTCCTGACATCAGAGTTCATGCTGAGCATTTCATTTCTCAATTGAGAGTGGGTGCTAGCATGCCTCACCCTACATGGGTTTCGGATCATTATACCTTGGATTATCATGAGGCTGATCATCCTTTTCTCAACTCCCTGCAGTTGGAGTCACTTTTGCCTATATGTGGGCTGACACCAAAAATCCTATACATTTATCTCACACTCAGTTTTCCTGCTTTCAACTGACTCTTACTGCTTTCTTACAGTACTTGTCCACCATACACCTCCTTTCTGAGGCACTCTACCAATCTCCTGAGGGTTTTTTTGGGGGGATATCGTTTCCTTCATTACTTCCACCTTGGGATCTTATTGGGAGGGATGCTTTCTTGTCACAAGTTCATCTACTGTCCACTTATCTTGGGGACTTATGGATGGCTTTTTTTCTCTATCGGTCTGTTTTTGGAGATATTCCCGAGTCTTTGGTATCGTTTGCGGAATCTGTAAGACAACATTCCTGTACCTATATCCTTCGCACTACCTGTGGATCCTACTACCAACCAACATCTATCTGAGGTGGTGCTGATTCTTCTCTCACAGAGAACTATCAAGCCTTCCAACCAACCTTCCCCAGCTTTTTAATTCCAGGCTTTTTGTGGTCCCCAAGAAAACTGAGGACTGGTCTTGTAATCAAGCCGTCCTACCTCAATCACTTTTTGGTTCTTCCCAGTTTTACCTTTCTCACACTGTGGTGGGATTTTTCTCCAGGACTGTGAATGACCAAGTTAGATGTCTTGATTGCTTATCTCCATATTCCTGTTCAGTTTGTCCATCATGGGGTTGTGTATCAGTTTCCCGACTTGCCCTATAGGCTTACTTTGGCTTGATACATCTTTTGTCAGTTGGTCAAAGCCTTTGCCTGACCTCTGCTCCTGACAGAAGCAGCTAAAGTGGTTTGGATTCTCAACTTGAAGTTTTTTCTATTACCTACCCAATATTTCATCCACGTGGATTTTTTTTTCAACATCCACCTCAGTTGGGCTCAACCTTCTCCACTTGGACTCTGTTCAATGGAACTATCAGTTCTCCACACTCTTGCTGCTCCCTCTCTTTCTGCTCTTCAGGTTCTACCATTTTCTGGGACTTAGGATTCCCCTTGGATTGGGCACATATGCTGTTTCTTAACTGGACTCTGCGCAACTAATGGAATCTTGCTCAGGATCCCTTGGGTTATCCTTCCTCCTTCCCTGTTAGATGGTCTGCATTGGTGGTTGAACAAGGACAACATGATGATAGATGTATCACTTCCTCTACCTTGTCCAGATTTGCATCAATTCACAAATGCTTCTCTCCATGGTTTGGGGTGTGGGTCGATTAGAAGGACACTTTTGGACTATGGTCTCTAGTTGATTGGTTTTACCATATCAACATCTTTGAGCTTCTGGTGGTACCACATGTTTTTGATCACTTTCTTTCTGTTGTATGGAATTGACTAATCCTGATCCATTCAGACAATTCTACAGTGGTGGCTTATATCAATCATCAAGGGGAGACCTATTTGCTGTTGAACCTTGGAACTCTTAATTTGAGCCAACATGATGGAGATATGTGTTCTTGTGTGTCATAAAGTTTATCCCATGGAGTGGTAACACAGCCCTCAGGTTTTCCAGTGGCTTTGCAATCAGTGATATACTCCTCATCTGGATGAATTTGTCACTTGCCTCAATACCAAGTTACCTCTTTTTTGTTCTCCAGTTCCTCATCCTCAGGCCTTAACTGTGTGTGCTCTCAGCCAGGATTGGATGAACTGGTACCTTTATGATTATCCTCTCAGGGTGATTTCAATAACCTATGCCACTCTGTGTCATGTCCTTCTGTTTGATCCTTACTAACTGGCACAATCTTAGTTTCGTCGTCTCCTTCAGCTTCAAACTACCTCTCTGTTGCCTTTTCCTAACACTCATCCCTACTACGTCAACCTTGATCACAGTCCTTCATTCTACCCTTACGTCTTCACACCTGGCATTTATCTGGTCTCCGGCAGATCCAGATTATCTAGGTGTGTTGCTTCCTTTTTAGCACTGTAAATGGAATGTCTTCTACTGTTGGTCCTCGATTCAGGTTTTATTCCCCTTCTCAGCCCAATGTTCCTCTTCGTACAAATCTCCTCACATGGCTGTTCGATCATGGGAATTCTATCTCTTTCGTAGTTGGTTATCAAATAGCCTTATATCTTCTATTTTTGATGGTACCATTTGGTGTTTTTTTCTCCTACCCTTTCCCTTTTGTTGTGTTCCTTCCATATTCACAGACCTCCTCGTTGGGTGGTCCTTCCAGATTTAAATGTCAATATTGTTCTTCACCGCCTCATTCCACCTCCTCTTGAACCTTTGTTCTCATGTTCCTTGTTTCACTTATTCCTTAAGACTTATTTCCTACACCTTTTAGACTGTGGACATCGTCGGTCTGATGTATTTGTCATTGACATTTCATGCACACTGTATCATTCTAAATATATTCTCATTTATCCAGATCAGACTTTTTTCCCCTAAGCCTAGGCAGCTCATGAGGGACATTCTTACTTCTTGTCGATTTCACTACTATCCTTATCTCACCTTTATTTCCAGTCAGATCTGGATAGACTTCTATGTTCCTTATATGCTCTATATTGTTATATTGCCTATGCAACTTCCTTTTGTGGTTCCTGTTCCTGCCTTTTCATCCCCTGGCAACAATCCTATGTTCATGACCCTTACCAATTTGGTTCAGTAATTGATTCCATTGCCACATTCCTCCAAATCTCTTCATCCTGAAATCTGTTCCAAGTGTCATTGCGTCAGATCCAGCATGTTACCTTTTCCCTGGTGTCTCACTTCTGTCATCTGTTGGAGGAAAACCTTCAGTCAGGCATGTGGACAACATCTCATACTTTCATATCCCAATATCTTAATCAGGTAGCTGTTTGTTCTTCATCAGGGTATTGTCTTCTGCTTGTTGCCATTCTTCCAACTTCAGTGAGGCTGTGACTGGGTAAGTTATCTTTTCTGTATCTTTGATTTTTCATTCAGGATCCGCATCAGTGGCGAGCATTGCCTGTTCATGTATGCTCCCTATTTATCAAATCTGTACTGTACAGCCAACTTGTATACTCATGGCCTATAACACATACTGTTGAGATGGGATGTTCCTCGCGATTTGTTTGCATCATAATATGCTCGTTCCAGACTGTACTCAACCATGGATTTACATGGGTAAAGCACAAGGGGATAGCTGCCCATCCATTTAATTGAATAAATATAAATCAGGGGTGGTCTGCTTTTCAAAATAGGGCTTTTTGTGGTCATCTGTTGCACTCTCTATGATGTTGTCATTTCTCCAGACTCTTCACCACATTTTGTTCCCCCCTTATTCTTCTAGTGGAGTATGGGAGTCCTTTTCATTTTCTAGTTCTGAGCCACTTGAGTGGTGGACCATGGAGGAGTCCTCCTGAATGTGATCACTTTCATTCAGTTGAGAGTAGGGTGGTGGTGTTCTGCTGGTGTAGATGGTGTTCGATCCTCCATTTGTGCACTCCACCATTGTGTAGTGAGTTCCGGAGATTGGTGTTGTGGCCAGCATCTGTACGGTTCTATCTAGAGGGTGAGGTTGCTTGTATTTTCTAGATACAATCCACTTCCATATGGTGGGACCCGAAGGCTGCTATTGCACTCCAACTTCTGTGCAGTCCTATCCAGGGGATTATGTTGCACATATCTACAAATAATTGCACTCTACCTCCATGTGGTGGATCCAAGAGGTTGATGTTTCACACACCTTCTGTGTGGTTCTATCTAGAAGTTAAGGTTGCTTATATCTTATAGATGGCATTCCAACTCTTGTGCAGTCCTATCTAGAAGATGATGTTGCTTGGGAGTAAATTTGTCACATTGCAGTTCACCCTCAGTTGAGATCCCTCATCCTACCATCACCTGGATGTTGGTTTCCTGTGAGGTGGTGTTGGATTAGAGTGGACCAATCAAAATAAATTCTCACATGTGTAGGTTGTATTTCCTCTTTTTCACTCAATTTGCCCCATGATCTCCACTTCCATGGGGTGAGTCCCAGAGGTTGATGTTGCACTGAGCATCTGTGCAGTTCTCTCTAGAGGGTGTAGTTGCTATATGCAAAAATACCCTTTAAAGAATAAATAATATATTTGAAAAGAAAACTTTAAAAAGATGGTCTTTCTCCTTTAGGAAGGGGTAAGTTTATACAATGTACAATTAAAGAAAGAACAAAACAAATTTAAGACAAGAACAAAATTTAAGGTACATAACCTGTACCGTACAGAAAGAAACAGCCTAACACTATTTGCAAAATTGTTATTAAGAAAACAAACAAGTCTATTTGTTAGCAAGCATAACATACAGGCACGGATACAGCCTGTAAGAGGGCACACATATAAGAACAATAATATATTTGTGATTTTAATGTATATTTGTGATCTAACAATGTGAAATGAATGCAGGAGTGTTTCAGCGGAAATTCGCTGGTTTGTGTTGAAAATATAGGTTTTTAAAGCATATTTGTTTTAAATTTCCACTTAATATCCTACTGAGTGTTTTCATTTTTTAGGGTTGTGCTTGATGATTTTAGATATAAGATGCTGATACGTCTTCAAAGTAACATAATTCTTATGTATTAGGGCAATTTTATGTGTACATAAGGATGATTTCGAAACATTGTTCATTGGTATTTTTTTATTTATCATATACAAATTACACATAGACACAAACACATACAACTTTAGAAAATGCACATTTTTTGAATGAAAATAGTTTGCATGGAAATACCATATTTGTTTTATACTAGATGTATATTTCATTTCACAGAATATCAAATACAATTAGGTCAACTATGGTAATAATTCATGTTCTGCATCATTTTGGTCTCAATAAATATCTGAAGTAAAATAGTTCAACATAGACTTTGAAATAATGAAATATCTTACAGCATTTTCTGTTAAATGAGAGGATGGTCTTAATATGAACAGTTGAGTTAAGCATCTTCAAACTTACCTTGTTCCAATATTTTGGTTAAATTATGTTAAAGACAAATTATTTTATGTGTGTCTTATTATACAGGCTCAGTCATTTTTACTGACACTGTAAGCACCACAAAAAATATGAAATTCATCTAAATTACCCCTTTTTCTTTCAAGAATGGCTCCAGATTATAACAATGAATTACAATTACTTATAATAATGTGGCCTCAGAATTTTTTTTTATTCAATCATTCAATTTAGCATATGAAATATTTCCACAAGCATGAAATAGAATGCCCCAATGCTTAAAATTATTTCCATACCTGGTCAAGCAGAGCCTCAACAGCAAGATTTGAAGAAAATGATGCTCAAATGTCTAAATTATTATTCCACTGTCCCAGGCCTTTAGACCCTATAGCTGTCAGTCAGTTCAGTGAAATATTCACCTTTTATTGGTTACAGATAATACAATAGCAAAGTCAGAGAGAATTTATGAAATGTTTTGAAAGCAGGATTCTCAGTGGAAGACTTGGCATTTGACCAGTACTTCATTGCTTATATCTCCATAAAGCAAAAGCTTTATTGGTGGCAAATTCTCACTAGAAATTAATAGTTTAGCTCGAGAAATATATAATGTAAGTGCAAAATTCCACAGAAAATAACAATGGGTTAGAGGGCAGCAGAAAGTGTTGAAATAAATAGTTTGGACTGGAGAAATGTTATGCGATATACAGAAAGTGAAGATTAGCATTTAGATATATATACTTTTAAAAATATGAAATTGAAACTTTTATGTTATTAAAGTTTGATCTATAAATTATGTTTAATGCCAACTTTACTAACTCTCTCTACAATTTGACCGACCACATGACCTTTTTGTGCTCGTATAAAGTCTTTATAGATTTGATACTACTAACTTTTGATATAGTTTGTATATCTTCATAAAATTTGGCAATCTTTCAGTAAACATTATAAGTCTTTCACATACAAAAAATAAAATTTTTTAGTTAGTTATTTTTGATAAATTAAAAATAGATTTGTCCTTGAATATATCAAGTATTTGTTTTGAATAGTCCGTGATTTTCATGTTAAGGTTAAAAATACTTTTCTTCATCTCAAGAATCTCAAGGTTCATTTATGTCATCTCTAGAACCTCCTAAATACATTTCCAATGTTTGTTTTCAGTAAAACAGTTATCTGTTATTTTCTCTAATCTTATTTCTAAGATTATTCATCAAGCTATAAAAAAAATTTTTCTTGAAAAACTTAACTAATTTAAATGTAGATGAAGTTAATAATTTACCTTGTGAGTGTGAACATAGATTATTTATTGATACTTTTCATAAATGTATTATTACTTGTAACTTGGAAATTATTTACTCAAAGAAAGTGAAGAAAAAACTGTTGTTCATTTTATTTCATTATTTTCAAAATTTCATTTCACTATACATTGATGATTTAGCTATAATAAGTGTTAGAGTAAAGAAAATAACATAAATATGAACTTTTATTTTAAAACTTGTGAAATACTTTTAAGACATTATAGAGGTTATGCAAATGTAATATGAAAATTGTAGGATGAAGTACTTTTATTCTTAACATGAAAAACACCTTTCAATCAGACCAGTCAGACTGAATCTGATTCTGTAAATTCAGTGACACATTTTGGTAAAACAGACTTATAATGTTTACTAAAAGCTTTCCAAATTTTGTGAAGTTACACCTAGTAAATTTAGATATTGTATGTATAGTTACATGAATATGTGGTGGTTACAAGGTGGGTCACATTGACCAAGTCTGAATTTAAAGGGATAATAAGCAGGATTACCACTGGCTAGTTGAAAAAAAAGAAAAACTAACTGTGGCTAAAACTTGACCTTAAGTATCAAAAGGGATGTGTGAATTCTACTTGGTCAGAAACACAGCCAAGTGTGTAGATTGAAGGGGCTATACTGTGAGGGTACACCCATGAACTTTGTCTCTAGCTATTTGTCAAATGACATTTCTGCAGATTTGCATTAGAGTAGTCCTTATTTTTGAAGTTTTGATTTGCAATACTCTCACTACTTCATTTTGTTCCAATGTATAAACGTGTACTTCACACCAAATTTTGTCCATAATGAATAACATTTGGGGGTTGCCCAAGGTAGTTGAAATTTTACCTTGTAGCTCGCATTATATATGAATGTGCTGGAATGTTCCAGAAGATTCTGAATATTCCAAAATTGATTTATAGTGTTGGAGAGGATCAAGCTTCTGCTGTGGAACATTTGCTGGAAGAGTGGGGAGTCATTGATCGTGTAAAGGCAGTTCTTTGACATAACAGCAAGCAATAATAGTCACATAAATAATGCATGTGTGTTTTTAAAACAAAGATTAAATAAGAATTTTTTATATTTGACACCTGGCATTAGAGCTTGGAACTTGTCCTAGCATGTGTTTTGAAAGACTGTATGGGGTTTTCCTCTGGTCCAGATATTGCAATTTTCAATCAATTCTACCAGTCTTGGGAATACATGGACCAGTCAAGATATGAAACTCCAACTGACCTTGATAAAGTAACAAAAGCCAAAGGAGGAAATTAAGGACACTGTCATTGGGTTTGCTACAAGAAAACTTTAGGTCAGCTAACATAGAGACTGTTATCGAGATCTTCTTGAACTAGCCATAACCTTTCTTGCTGGCACTCCTCCTCATGGAGTGTAATCTGTAGCATCTAGAGCACTACATCATGCATAATGGATGGCCAAGGCATTATGTGTTCTCACAATCTGGATGCTTATGGTATAGTTTAAGCTCTGTGGCCATGAGAAAAGAGAACTCCGTAACATCTGCATCTGTTTTGTTCAAGTATCTTAGGGCAAGTTTCAATGCTTCTGATGGCATTTCTGCATCTTGCAATGATCTTAACATCTTACAATGTCTTGTTAAGTATAAAATATTAAATTCTGCTCTTTCCAAATTTGCTGGACATCTATGGTATCTCATTGGATTGGCATTCTTTGGCTTGGCTGTACCCATAGAGACAAAACAAGCAATGGTAAAGGCACTAATTGAGGCATGAGTGAACCTTCAAAGCACATCTAGCCAAATATCAAGAAGTCTGAGGACATGTCAGTTGAATACTTCATCACAAAAAACACAACAAGCTTTTTCAGATGGCTCGAAATTCTATCTGGATTTCTGGATTATGACTCTGAGTCCTGAGAGCTTAGAGAGGACTAGAGGAAGACCCTACAAACAGTTCAACACTTGAATGTGTTAAATAACAATGCTGAAAATAGTGTGGTCCTTATTGTGGAGTACCCCATGAAATCATAACAAAGAAAGGAGAAGGGAAAACAATTCCTCTTTTATGTTGTATAACATCATAGAAGATGCTTTCTTAACAGTAAAAAGAAAACAATAATATTGCAGGAGTGACTAACCCCATGAAAATAATATAAGAATCATATTATTATGTAATTATACTATTGTACATGCAATAAGATAATAATATCCTCAAAATAAATCATTTATAATACATGGTAAATATTTTATGTCACATAGTACATATGGTACCAGGCCACTGCTGTATAGGACTTCAACTTCATTGAGCAACCTCTAAATATGGTACAAAATGGATGAAGTTTGACCTCTGTTTTTGTTTTTTATGCATTAGAACAAAATTTGGGGTTGAACTATGGAATATCCTACTTCGCATGTACTCACTCACTTTATTGCCATAGAATGTGTATCCTGAGAACTTCTTAATCCTCAAGCTTCTGCAGTTCTTTGACTAACTGTGGTCATGCTACTGTCTGTTGTCCCTGCTGGACAATTAGGACATACACATACTCTCTGACCTGGTTTCATTCTTTTTTTATTGTCTGGTTGTCACCTAGATAGCACCTAGTTTCAATAGAAAGGAATTGGGATCAAAACTGCAACAATTTCCTACACACTGAAACTGATCTGGGTGAAACAGTGCTAACCAACAATTTTGAATGTTAACTGTTGCTTCCATTGTTTTCCTTTAGGATATGCTTCCAATATAAGTTATGTAATAGTTTCTTATAAAAATTACAAAGCTTCAACATGCTGGTTTTACTTTCTGCCTTCCCTTAGTACACCTACAACTTGCATATACCTGCTTGAATACTCTATCTTGCAATGAAACAATGCTAAGAAAATATTCATTGCATTGCTACTGTTTGCTTATTAAAAATATTTCAATCTGCATGACAGAAAATAATCCTATCATAAGCAAATAAAGCACCGGATACATCATGTTTCTGTACTTGTTATGATATTCAAGCCACTTTCTGTGAATTTCATTTGCTACTAATAATTTCACTCACCCATCAGTATTTCAACTCAGTACAGTTGAAATATCTTTCACATTACTTTTTACAAAAACAATAGTTAAAACTGATTTCAGAACGACCAGATAAAACTGTGTTTAATAAAACCCCAGGTAAATTCTGTTTTTCTATCTCTTTGACTTAATGTGAGTCTTCTTGTTATAGTTTTTCTCTTCCATGAAAATTTACTACTTATCAAATATTTCCATGCCATATTGGAACATTCTCTTTCTAGTATTAATGAAAATAATAAGTACACTGTCTTCTCCAACAATAGTTTCCGGGTCAATCATTCCAGTTAACCTTATATTCATCAATTCTTAATGTTGAGATCAAATCATTTGTCTCCATCTTCTTTTTTCTTTTGATTGCTCTGCTCTTTCTGTAATTGATTCATTTGTGTTATAAAACTCTCCAAAATAATTTATGTAATGTTCATACACAGGAATGAGAACACACACTTTATTTATATATATGTATATTGCTGTATAGGATAATGTCATTAACCTCTAGTACTCTAGCAGTTTATACAGATCCCTCTGGCTACTGCATAAATTACTTTGATAATGCTTGAGTTACACTCCAAAACTACACTCATTAATGATGGTAGTATCACAGGGGGCTGTCATACTCCTAATTTCACATTTCAGGCAAAACAGAATAAATAATCACTGGCAAACTGTGAATAAACTAAGAATCCTAAAGTGAAAGTTTATTCCGGAATTAAAATTCATGCAGTCCTTTCTGTACCGCAATAAACACAACCCCATTGTAGCTTGTAGAATTGGCATACTTCCCAGATATATAGATGAAAATCTAGTGAGTACAGGGTGGAATGTTCTGTAGAGTTCTCACCACCCAAATAGATTATGGGAATGTGCTCCACCTTAGAAATTCCACACTATGGCTTGGAAAGTAAGGGTCATAATGCCCTTTCAGTTACTGATTTTTTGATCATATGACTATCCTAAGTGTGAAGTAAATCAAGTGGTAGACAAAAAATCTAGAACTTCTATTTTAGATAAAATACTATCTGGTAGCTCAGAAAGCAAGGGTTGCAAAGCCCTTTAAACTGAGTTTTTTTATTCCTACATATCATCTTCAATTTTACAAACTATTAATGTGCTAGGTATTATATGTATTTACACTTGCTATCTTAGCTTCTGCTAATGGAATAGTAACTAAAGTGTTGTGTATGCACAGTATATCATATTGCCACTCATGCTTTGGAAAGCAAGGACTGCAACACCCTTTCATTCACTGACTTTTTAACCATGTGACTGTTCTATATGTCAACAATTGAATGAAAATGCAACAATGTAGTACATACATTGTATCTAAATAGCTCAAAAATGAAGGATTGCTACATGTTTTTAGTTAGTAATTGGGCAGATCATAGACTGTTATAATTATTGTTAATTGATTAGTCTTGCCTATATTGATTGGGGGGGGGGGTCAACATCTTGTCTAATAGCAGGACTGTTTCTTGCTTTTACCTCCATAGATGTCTCATTTAGCTCATTAAAGACACTGTATAGGTCTTTTGGCGTCATTTGTTTGTTTTTGCGCGAAATTCAAAAACGGCGGTGGGTGGTGATGACTAGCTGCCTTCCCTCTAGTCTTACACTGCTAAATTAGGGACGGCTAGCGCAGATAGCCCTCGTGTAGCTAAACTCTTGGACTACTCTTGTACCAACGAATAGTGGGACTGACCGTCACATTATAACGCCCCCACGGCTCAAAGGGCAAGCATGTTTGGTGGGACGGGGATTCGAACCCGCGACCCTCAGATTGCGAATCGAAGGCACGTGTCTTTCCACTGCCGTAGAAAATTTTCACTGCGGTGGAAATAGACAAATGAAAAACTAAAAATCACAAATAAGAAAAAAAACTGATTCTAAAAAAAAAAACATGTTTAAATTCAAGAAATCGAAATTATAAAATGTGGTTGAATTAAAACATAAAACGAAATATAAAATTCGGTGTCCCCAACG